GTGACAGAGCTGTCCAGAGGTAATCAAGTCCTCGCCTGGAATTCACCAAATAACAAGGAGTCTGAGAGGAGGTGTTGTTGATGCAGGATTTACAGGAAAGTAGTGTTTCACTATCCCCAATTAAGCTTTGTTGACATGTATCCTGTAAGCTCCTAAACCAAAAGAAGCTCCGTCACAATCCTAGGACTTCTGGGCTTTACATTTCACAAACACACAGCAAATAAACAGAGGTTAGTGTCTTAGGATATATGAAGTAAAGAACACAGTTACCTGCAAAAAGCAGCTGTTTCCAAAAATCCCTTTTCAAAGACATAGACACATTTGTACATACACATGCACATACATGCATATACACATAACAACATACACATGAATAGACATGCATGTTCATATATGCAAATGCACTCATGCGTACAGATACATACGCACACTCCTACATAATACATGTACACACCTGTATGTGAAAACATTACATATACATGCAAACGTTAGCAAAAAAATTTACTTTGCAATAGGCCCCAGAGATTTAAATACTGAAACCTTTCATTTGTACCAGTAATTCATATACAGCAATATGGGGTGAAAAAGGTTAATGATGGAATTTTTTAAAGTATGTTCCATTGACTATAAATGGCAGATCTGACAGTTAAAATGAAAATTGTTCCAGAGGAAACTTTAGTCAAACTAATTATTTGAGACGTTATAAGGATGTATAATTATATTCTTCACCTTTTAAAAAAAAGTTTTATTACAAATGTGCTTTTAAAGAACAAGTAGAGAAATAAAAGCTGTAATTGTTCTTAATTATAGCTAACTGTAATTGCACTCAATTGCAATATACTGAATATCACCAATGCCTAAAGAAATCCTGGCATGAGGCAGTGTGCCCACGTTCATGAGATGAGGTATAGTTTTATGAATATTCTCTTATCTATAATTTAGCTCTTTTACTGTTGATTCCTTTTCAGTTTGTTTTATTTTATTTCTTTATTTTAGTGATTGTAGAGACATAATTGTCATCTCTGAATGTGCTGAAGGTTGTAGATTTCATCTGGGGTTGGTTCAAATTTCCCATTGCTGCAGAACAGGACATAATGGAGATGGTTCAATGAGCAACTTGGACATGACCCACTGTGGCTGACACACTGAATGCATGCATTGGAATTTTCAGAGGCAGAATGAATACCACATTTAATGTAGCCAGCAGAGGCTCTAAGAAGCAACATGGAAAATATTGAGGCTCTAAAATGACATAAACTGTCCCTCTGCTAACGATGCTTAGAATAATGTTGTTTCAAATAGGTAAAATCATCTTATTCATGAAAGGCTCTCACACGCTCTCTCTCTCCATCTCCCTCTGCCATCCCCTCTCTCACATACACACCTTATGACTATTTTCTGTATTCACAAAGGCTGGCCCTTGGTCGCTGGGGCTGAGGGAAGCTGTTGGTGACCCCTAACCGTTCCTCCTCCATGAAATGATACTTGATGGGCACATCTTCCCTTCTTGTGACTATAGGAAAGTTGATTTAACACTAACACTGTAGAATAAAAAAATAAGTTAGCTTTAAAATTATTATTACTAATTATTATTATGATTATTTTATGTGTGTGTATGTTTGTGTATGCACATGTTTATGTCATGGCATGAGCAAGGAGGGTGGAGGACAACTTTGTTGGGTCATTTCTCTTCTACCTTTACATGGGTTCTGGCGATAGAACTCAGACCAATAGGTTTGCATGGCAAAGACCTTTGCCTGCTGAGCCATCTAACTGTATCAAGAAGTGGGCTTTTTGCCTTTATGGAAAGAGAGTATTTTATTATATAAAGGCAACTTCTTTGGACAAACATAATACAGAAGAAACAAACAAACAAACAAAAAAAACCAGTCTGTTGTTACATCAAAACAACCTTCATTTCTCCTCTTTTCTGTGGTTGGCTGCTAAGAGCTTTCAGCCCTAATGTCAGAGTTACTTATGATATAATTTCTGGTGCATTTTTTAAAAAGGAAAGAAAAAAAAAAAACACCATTGAGCTTCATATTCTTCATTTCTTCATTTTCACTCTTCTGTTGGTCAGGCCTGAGTTCAAGAAGGCCTTCTAAGGAACTATCCATGTGACAGAGAACACTGCCGGCCCCAGCCTCAGGTGGCAACTCTCTGTCCCTTATGTCACAATATTGACTGGAGGCCAGAAAGGCCATGAGGACTCAGTTCCAGTTTGTATTCCTCAAAGACCTCCTAGCACCAGACAGGAGGCATACGACAACCCAAAGCTAATCTAGACATTGAGAAAGTGCAAGACACCTCTTCATTTCCTTCATCATGTCACTTCACCCTAGAAACCCTCATCTGCACTGCCCTCCCTCTTTTCCCCGTCTTCCATTCCTCTGCTGCATTCCGCCCTCAGCAGCCTCCACCACACAGACGTGTCGATGGCTACCACCTTGACCTTGCACTCTTCTTCAAGTCAGTGGCTCTTACATTTTAGATTTGTAGAAAGATGGGCACGCCTAAGACTAAAAGCATCCTTCCTCTTGACAAATGGAGTCTGCTTTGCCAGTCGTGACTTTGGTGGTGGGTATTCTGCAAATCAAATCTTTCCAGATTTTTTTCACCAAAGCTTACCTTCGCAGAGGAGTTCAGTGGGTTGGAGGCAGGGGTCAGTGGTGGGGTCATTGTCTAGCACACATAGGCTCTCAGTTCAGTCCCTAGCCTCTTAGCTATTCACCCTTGTCCACCCACTTGGCTATTCACATGTGGCTATGCCTTCCCCACCAGATATGGGAGCCATTAGAAACCCTTCCTCCCTCCTTCCCTCCATTCATTCCTCCTTTCCTTGTTGCTGTTGTCAGTATTCTGTCACAGGAGAGACAGGAGAAACTAATCCATGCCCTTACATATGACTGGTCTGGATTTTGTGTGTATGGTTTTGCATTTCCTTTTCATCTCTGAGAGTACAATTTGGTAATTGAAACTTAACGTGCCATTTCCAAGCTCAGCAACTGTCCTCCAGGCCTGGTAACATTTGCCACTGCTAAAGTCTGTGTAAATGTGTTTTAATGAGCAGGAATTGTTGCTGATGACCTATTCAGGTACTTGCTATTTCACATTATTTAAGAGGGTAGGATCACTGAATGTTGAGAGTTACAATGATGGATACACAGAGACAAGGATACGTGGAAGCCTCCTTATCCCATAGTGCCACTGACGGTGCTGAAGACAGGCTCATCTTCCTAGGAGGGTTCATGAGCCAAGTGCCAAAATGGCATATGTGAAAGAAAAGAAAATAAGAGCCCTTAATACTACCTCAAAGCGACAGAAGGGACAGCAGTACCATTTAAACAGTGGCCTCTTTTGTGGACCAGTCAGGCCAGATGCACTCTTTGCAGTGCTGATGAAGAGAAACCTCCAGCAATTTGATTTTTAAGGCACTTGAGCACAAGGACACAGACAATAGCGGGCGTTTGCAGCCGTGTCACATAAAGAATACTAAAATATTATGAATATGTCTTGAGCCAAGTAAAATCTTAAGCAACATCTCTGTAGATGAAAACGAGGACTATCAGAAGGAAACTGGACAGAACTTGAATTAGATTCCATTTTTTCTTAACTGTGTTGGCCCTTCTGACAATCTGAGTGCATGCCTGCTCGCTCTCAGAGGCAAGCCTCTAGCTCCAAACTCTGCCCACTCGTTTCGGCACCTGTCCTGGGGGATTTGGTAAACAGAAGTCCAGTCTTCCATGGTGCCAACTCTCAATAGGCCAGAGCCTGGAGCCTGTCTGGATATTGATGTGAAAATTCAATCCCAAAAGTGTATTGGGTGACATAAAGGGAAATGCTACCTCCCAGATGTTTGCTTTTAAGCTGAAAGGTGTAGAGAGTTTCATCCACCCCCAGCTTGTATCCCAGCAAAGCCAGACACCAGACGCATGTCTGTTACACAGGAGGGCATTAGTACCAACGGGTGGTATCTCTCAGAGAAACCTGCAGTTTCCTCAGTGACTGACTAGCTGAGATCATCACAGGGTCTGGTCTTCCCTTGTCCTTGTCAGCATTTTGAATTTACACTCCAAGTCAGCATAGTGGTGTTCGTTTGTTTCTAAATAGATGCTGTCTGCCTCAGGGTATTCCAGGAAGAGTCACTGAAAATAGGGGGAAGCACAAGTGGAAAGGAAAGAGATGAGTGTAGGAAACAAGCACGGAGTAGAAGAGGCTGCCTTTAAGGCATCCTCGGATTTCCTGAGTTAGGCCTTAGAGGTGGTCCAGAAAAACCTCCCTATGTAAAACTATAGCTCCCCCCACTACCCTAGGTTTCACTTTCTCTCTACTGGTCACATTTCATTTTTCTTTTTTTGTTGTTGTGAGTTTTGTTGTTGGTTCTGGTGGTGGTGGTTTGTTTTTTTTTTTCGAGACAGGGTTTCTCTGTGTAGTCTTGGCTGTCCTCGACTTGCTTATTCATAATGACCCTCCTGCCTCTGCCTCCCTGAGTGCTCAGATTAAAGGCGTGTGCCACCATGCTCGGCTCACTTCATTCTTCTTAATAACATCTATTATATAAAACTGAATTTTGTGCTTTCCATGCTCCTGCCTAAGCCTCAGATGACCGAAAACAAGTAGCAATATTCCCAAAGTCCTCTGTTCCTGAGTGACTCTTAGAAAGTGATCGCCGCACCCTGTTTCATTGCAAATGAAACAGTTTGAGATGTTTTCCTTACCAGTTTCTGTGCGCTTTTAAATTTTAGTGTTCTAATCTCAGGTAAAGTCTACCAACAGAAAGCAGAAGCAGTTATGATACATGTTATGTTACATAACAAGCAGTTATGGCTACTTCCTTCGAAAGTAGCCAGAGATGTTCATAGACAGTAACCAGAAATGTGGTCAAGCACTGCATGCTTCACACTGCCGTCACACACAGCCTTGCAACGTTATGTGATGTGATTAACTTTCACATTTGCCGCAGTGAACTTAATCACGCTTGTCTTCTTTTTCTCTAACAGAGAAACTGCCACCGAGTTAGCTGGAAGTCCACCGAGGTGAGCAGCTGGCTTTTCTTTACACTTCTCCTGATTTTTGAAACATACAGGGAACAGCGTTGTGTCCTTTTTAAGTGGGCTCCTCATTTTCTCTTATCATTGTGCTAAAAAATTCTGTACGAGTCACTGGGTCACATGGAAGTGAGAGCATCAAGAAGTAACAGGCTAATATCTATGTATGATTTTGAGAAGTTATTCTCATTCTTTTTATGTCTTTAGAAAGATAGTTGATGAAGATAGATAGATAGATGATAAATTATAGATGACAGATAGATAATAGATGATATATACACAGATGAGTGATAGAAGATACATAGATAATAGTGACTATATTTGCTCCAGAAATCATGAAAGTGTGACTCCTTATTAGAGTCAAAAGATTTGCTAGTCAGAGATATTTTGTGGGTTTTTTCTTCAATGTATCAATTATTATTGTATTCAGAAGTTGATGATTTATTAAAAAAAAAAAAAAAAAAAAAAAAAACCATGGTACCCCTAAACAACCTGATCAGAGTTTTTGGTGATTAAAAACACATTTGAAATTCTCTTCATGGTTTAAATAAGAAAAATAAATCAACAGGGTGGCCATCTTTTAAAAGACATTTTACTGAATACTGTGCATCTAGTCTGACCTTAGCACCAAAACTTCTGCTCAGTCTTTGAAGGTGCTTAATGCCCATTTGAGAATCAATTAACATGACATGGGGCATTGGTTTGGAGCTGCTGAATGTCCATTAACATAATCTCAAGAACAGAACAAAGAACAAGGAGTGTGATTCTAAATAGCACTAGGAAACAGGTTAAGGAGCATCGAAATCTGAACGAGATGAGAAGCAGTTGAGCTGCTTTTTGTATGTTAAAAAAAAAAAACTTGCTTATAGACTCATAACTGATATTGCCCCAAAAACTAGTTTGGTGTGATCCAAATATTTAGCGTACTGTGTATGTCCATTCTTTGGATAGTATCTCAAAGAAGTATCCCAAAGGTGTGCCAGCTTGCAAGATTAAACCTCTGAGCATGTTCTGTCGTATGTGTCAGTGCTGAGTTTGTTTGTCATGGTGCTTTCCACTTGGAAAATGTCTGTCATCAGTAGCTGAGCATCCCATCATTTACAGGGGATGGGGGAATTGTGTGTCTACTTATGTTTGTGGTGAAGAAGTTAATCCTGAAATAATGGAATGAGAAATGGCTTCCAAACTTTTATATTATGGCTAAGACATGGACCACCTCTGTTTTGTCAGGGAAGACCCACGCCATGCTGTAATCATACAGACGAAAATTGCTCATATGTCTGAAAATCTGCAGAGCCTCCTGAATTCTATTAAGCAGTGCTTTATTGTGAATACCAAGCAGCCATTTGCGTATTCCCCTGGAATGATCTTTCTGTTGTAGTTGGTTTATTACCCGAGGGACAGAACGCTCTCTCCTTGAGTTTGGTGGGTGGTATTTTGGTAATGAGCCTATTTATTTTTTGTCATGAAATTTTTCTTGTCCTATTGTTGAATGATGTTGAAAATCAACAGCATGGTGGCAGCCCTGTTCTAACTGCAACTTGCAGTCACAACTTTCATGCGTGTGTGAACGTATGAGAAATAAGGTGAGTTGTTTCTCAATGAGGCTTCTAATACAGCCTCGGGTACTCTGTTGGCTTTCTCTAGGGGCAGCTTGGGCTATATCCATTGACAAGTATTTCCCTTCTCATATTAACATAAAATAACATAATTATTTCACAATGAATGTTCCCCTTGGTGCCTAGACTCTTTTTTTTGGCAAGCATTTGCTCACACAGCCCAGCAGAATTCCATCCCTTGTTCAGCTGTCCTCCTGTCTTCAGATGTCTTCAACCTGTCACTGGAAAATGAGCCCTCTGATATCTGAGTATCATTTAGAACAAGGCATCTGTAGTTATTTTGTTTGTTTCTCAGCTAATGATTAGTGGAACATGACACTTGGAGTTTTTTATCCTTTTAGTCATAAAAGCATGCTTTTGCTGTGACATCTAAGAAAAATGGAAAATTGCAATCCAGGCAACTGCTAGCTTGTGATACGTGGCTAGGAAGGAAGACAGTGGGATTTTATAGCACTGTTATGATTCTGTGTTCATTGGCTTTGACTGTCTTAAAATTTTCCAAAAGGCCTTTTACAGCTGTTTGGGGTTGGGGGTGGGAGTGGGGGTTGGAATATTTCACCTTTAATGGCCTTACATGCCTTTAATTTTAGGTCGTCGGCCACAGGTTGATAATACTCTGTACAAATGCACAAATCAGGCGGCATGGATTATATCTCAAAAGCTGAAAATGCTTTGAAGTTGAAACAATATACATGCACAAGGTACTTGAAGAAGCGTCAGCTTCATTCTCCATTGCTGATGATAGCCTAAATGCATTTCTGAATTCTTGCTGTTGCTGAAATTAAAGCTTAGTAATAATATGTCACTGGAAAAAATATTCGATTACATGAGCAACATGCACTCTAAGCAATGTAATTATATTATAAATATTAAAAACCAATGATCTTGTCAAGATTAAAACAAACATTTAAACCAACTCCCTATAATACTCGTCTTGAAGTGTTCCACAAATGGGATGTGCTCCCTTCCTTAAACTGTGAAAACAATCATTTTTTCTTGCATATGGTTTCTTGCTTTTATTTTACATGCAGCAAAAGGCAATTCAGCAATCTGAACACTCTATTATAACCATTTGTGTGTGTGTGTGTGTGTGTGTGCGTGCATAGTCATGTATATGTGGGTAAATATATGTAGAAGCCGCAGGACAAACTCAAGTGTCATTTTACAGGTGGCATCAACCATTGTTTCTGTTGTTGAATTGTAGGTTTGCTTCTTTTTTTCTCTTTTTTTTGGGGGTGTGGGGTGTGGAAGGAGATCTCTCACTGCCTTGAAGCTCAGCCAGTTGGGCTGGCTGGCCATTGGAACCCCCTTTCTTCCCTAGGGATCTACTTGTCTGTCTTGGCCTTCATGTGCTGGCATGGCAAGCTCATGCCACCATGCCTGGCTGTTTAAATGGTTCCTGGGAATCTATGTCAGTCCTTGTTCTTGCAAGATGAGCACCTTGCCAACTTAGCCACCTCTTCACCCTACAATGATGGTTTCCAATTCTGTTTTTTTCTATTGAAGGGTAGTTAGTTTAGGTAGGTGTGTTCAAAATAAAAAATGCTGAGATCCCGGGTGTTCAATGGAGTTGAGGCACTAAATTAACTATAAGCTGAGTTTTTAATGTAAATGATGCCTATACAAAGAAAAATTTTATTTTGTGAACAGAGTAAAGCTATACAAAAGCTTTCCAGAAACTCCGGTTTTACTATCACCACGTGTCATCGGCTGCTGTTTTTGAAAGAGAGAGAGGGACTTCAATTCCCTGTTAACATGGCCCTGGTTATAGACTTAACGGTATGGAAAATAAAGGGATTTAATGGACCTTCATAAACGCTTCTTAAGTACTACAGGAGTGATTCATGAGCCAGCTCCTCTACACCATCCCTCCAACTCAAGATACTCTGCCAAGAACATGAAGTGTCAGTCAATGAAACTGAAAATAATTAGGCATGTGGACCAGCTGCTTTCTTCTACTGGATTTTTGCATCAGTCAGTGGAAATCAAAGCTAAGGACAAATGTTATAAAGGAAAAACTTCATATTTTTCACACGTTCAAATTCAACACCTTAGTAATTTTTTTTCTTGCATCTTCTGTGATGGTGGGGGAAAAAATACTACCATGACATCCCTAGATCTTGTAATTCCCAGCATGCTCTTCTCTCAGATTCACTAATTGCATCCCAATGAAACCTTAGTACATCGGCCTAAGCAATTAGTCTCCATATACCACACTAGCATTTGGTTGGAGTTTTTTTTTAACATTTCTGAGCCTAGCCATAGGCAGCGTGACACTCTCCACTATAATTTCTAGGCTCTGGATCTGCCTCTCCATCGTGAGAGGAAATGACAACCACCCTGTGGGTAACTGTTCTAAAGAATGAGGAGATTCACTAGATTAGGTACATCGTATGCATTTTTGACTTAGTGGTATTTTCAGCTTACTATTGATCCCAACATACCTCTCCTCATACGTCAAGAAGAATCCATTTGAGCACTAGAACCCCCAGTTCCTGAAGCACGGGGACAGAGAACTAGTGTTTGAGACCCTCCACCAAGAAAATAAAATTGTCTGGGACTATCAGGTCCAAGTCACTCCATTGTAGTTTTACATGGGGAGTACTGACACTTGAGTACTGATTCTGGGGTACTGACTGATACTGGAGTAGTGATATTATGTGTAGGGCTTTGTTTTCTGAGGTTGGAAATGGAATTCACCATTTATCATCAACCGTATTTCTGTCATGGATGCGCCTGGTCAAGAAGCAACAAAGAAGAAAGATGGACGCAAAGGGAATTAAGATAAGCTCAGATGGCTCAAGTTGCTACTTGTGGCTCTAGAGAGTTTAAGGTCAAGGCTTTAGTTCTCTGTGGAAGCTTTGGTAGCTAACACAAGCTCATATTTTTCATTGTCGTCATACAAAATCTGTCTCCCTTGAGACCCTTAGAAAGTAGTGGATAAATACGCTGGTTCTCCAGGTCAGCTAAGAGCTGATGGACACCTACTTCCTCCCTTCTTCATAATGCCCAGGAAACAACAGTCCCCTCTACTGTCCTGGGACCTGCATCCAGTGTGGTTCTATATTGATAGGTTTACTTATTTGTTCACTGATTTAACAAAGGTAGGTTGTTGCATTCACTTTTAAACTCTATTTTATTTGGGGCATTTAAGCCTTTCCCTCCATCCCATCAACTCTTTAGCCCTAAGTAAGAAAGAGAAGGTTAGTGGGGAGAGGAGGCACAGAACCTTCTACATCTCCCAGCTGTTTAGGGTCGCAATCTCCGTCAACAGCAAATGCAGCAAGCCGCTGTTTCTCTTCATCTTTCTTTTCCAAGCTGCCATGCCGTTTGTCTCTGGACTCTCCAAACTGCCACACATCCTTTTTC